AGGGCCGCCATGAGCGATGACGTAAGCGAGTGACGCATCCGTGCCGTATCACGGAGAGCGCGTCGCAGACGGAAAACAATAGAACGTGCCTGGTCTGAACTGGTAATGACGCGGTCTCGGCGCGCGGGAACTCGTCGCCATCGCTAAACTGGGTCAGTAGTGACATGGAGAAAGCCGACAGACGAGAAAGATAGCATGATGCACCGCACTCGTCACCGCTAATCGATCACTAACATCAGTGCTAATCGATTTTTGTCGGAATTCTTAACCTTTTTAGGTAAAATCACGGCCCGAATAGAGATGTTCTTTTCGTTCGGCGCGCATCGTTCTTCAAGTGAATGATGGTTTATATTTTAATAAATGAGTTCTGTGACGGACCCGCTCTCGACAATTACGCTACGCGCGCTGTAATTCTTTTACTCCTTGTGTGAATAGTAACAGTAACGAAGCGTAGCAACGCGTCTGAGAATTCCGCTTGGGCAAATCCGCTACACCAGTAGTGGCGGCCTGTGACAAATTTAACTGCCGTATAGACTGTCGATCTATTGCCGTCCGACCCTCCGCCCGAATGCGCTTGTTAGAACCGCTGGCGGCCGTCTACGGTAGTAAATGACGTGTGAACGTAAAAGTGAATGTTGAGAGACTTGGCTTGACTAGATTGTCTATGCGGCGAGAAATCCGCAAGCACCCGGTTGCGTCCTACATATGAATGTCGACGCATCGCTCTTGCTGGTCGCTGGCGGAAGGATACGGGTATAAAAGTGAAGGCGTGGAAGTAAGACATCTCAGTCGAATCTGCCTGTCAGTGTTGTAAGAAGCGAGACGCGTCTGCTAGGCAAGCATCAGGGGTAAGCCAGCTCCTGACATTGGTTAGGCAATCTTCAAAAATTAGTTACACGTTTTTTTCTATTTCTCGATGCTTCCTATTAGCGATAAAGATTTTTGTTAACGCAGAGATTCCTGGTAATATTAATTACACACTACCTGCTTAATTACTATAATCTTTATGTTTACATTGTTGGATTTTCTCAGTATCCGATATATCTTGGCGTAATCATTCTGACGTCAGAATGATTAATCCAAGGATATTATTATGTAGTTGACTCGATCAGTGAGTTCAACTACACCATTATGTGTGACTCTGAAAAAAAGTATAGCAGCGACAGGGATATTTACTAGGGTTTATCACGTAGGATGTATTTAGATTACCAATGATTCTATACTTATGGGCAGACTAATTCATATTTTGAATTATAATGTTGGCTTCAGATACCATCGAAAGAATAGGTGGGAATTCAATGACTGTGATTCCATCAACTGCTATATTGATCCTCTTGTCTGGTAAGTTTTACTGTTAACAACGCAAGAGCTTTTTCCAGTTGTTTTAATTCTATCTTGTAATGCTTTGATGTTATGCTTTGATCTCTCGCAAAACATATCGAGCCGAGCAGGATTCAGACCTGGAATCTTCTGCATCCGTAGTGCCAGACGCGTTATTCCGTTGGCCACTGCCACGCCACGCCACGCTACACCATGCTACGCTACACCATGCCACGCCACGCCACGCTACACCATGCTACGCTACACCATGCCACGCCACGCCACGCTACACCATCCTACGCTACCCCATGCCACGCCACGCCACGCTACCTCATGCCACGCCACGCCACGCTACCTCATGCCACGCCACGCCACGCTACCTCATGCCACGCCACGCCATGCTACGCCACGCTACGCTACACAATACCATGTTACGGCAGGCGGCGCAATGAGGGCGGGATTGTTGCATCTTGTTAACAGCATCTTGTGTTTAGCATGTCGACCTATTTCGCCACAAGAGATGAGTTGATCAGCAGATAATTTTGTAGTACGTGCAAACGGTAACACGCTATGCACATCTCTTAATGTTTGTCTTCTAGCAGTGACATTGCGCGATTAAGACATTGCAAGATTAAGGCCAAATAATAGCTACTCTGAGCTGTAATTCTGCTGATCTTAAAGACTCTCTATATCGTTCAGGCCAGGTTGAAGTAACGACGTGGGAAAAAAACCATCCTACTAAAATCGGTAACCCAATCTGGACAGCGGAATCGGAATGTGGTAAATGCAGCTCATAATACGCTCCCACATATCGTATCAGATCCAATGCAGCATATACGACAACGGTATCGTAACGGATAAACGAACGGGTTGCCGGACGCACACAGTAGGTGGCGCGCCAGACGTCAATACCATCCAATAGACGTGACCTCGTGTAGGCACGTGTCGTAACCCCTTACAAAACCGAGTCAGACATGACAGCCATGCAAATGCGCGGCGCGCGGAAGCTGGGGCGCCTATAGTTCACGTGCGTTGCTCTGCATGAGATGCTCAGCTTATAACCGACTGATATAGCTAACGCACCACGCGCACGGAGACACCCTTCCACGAAGTATGTAGCTTGACCTGCAGCTAGGGCTTGTTGAGGATCACTGTACTCTTACTGGATACTGACTAGACACTTTATTAGGCATAATCGCGGCAAATATATTGCCACGACAAGCGAACAGCGTTGTAATTACTTAGCTATCTCGTCCCAAAAGAGGCAGGGTGCTAGGAAAACATATCGGTCCCTTCTCGTGGAGGAATTCGTGGGGTTTGGAGTAGGCGTAACCATTATATATCGCTGTAAGAAGCGTGTCGTCGCAGCACAGTATGTCTGTATTACAGATCACCACTTCATCGATTTATAGATTGTGATAGATTGATTTATAGTTGTATATTGTAGCCGAGGGACGGCATCCTTTCTTATTATAGACATACAGTTATAGTCATCTATTGTGCGGAAAGTGAGTGCGATATGTGACGCACAGTATTGGCGTAATTAATTGCAATAAGATTGAAAGTAGCTTTCTATCATTACCGCCCTTCAATCATCAACGGTACAACACACAGCCGCCATTGTTTTAACACGTGATATGACGGACGGCGTGTTTCGCGCGAAGAGTGATAGAGAGTGTGTGTGTGTGCGCGCGCGTGTGTGGCCCAGATCCACTGTCACGGACAGAGTGAGTGCGAGCTGCATGCACGTACGGCATCGACAATAGCAGCGGTGAGGTATACCGAACAAAAACAGCTGCCCGGGTATATATAAAGTAAACTGTGTCATCTGCTACGGTTCAGTTTCTCCAACCGCAGGCGTCCAGTTACCTGTCCGCCGGCGCGACCGCGTGATTTTGTGCAGCAGACTTCGTTCGGGAAGGTGGTTGTGTGAAAGTGCATCAACGTCGTATCAGGTGAGTGATAGTTTTTCCGCGATATACGGTCTGATATAGTACGTAATGACGTTGTTGTGCCTAGTAAGTTATTTGATACGAAATAACTAGAATTTAAATGCGAACTGTTCATCACAGAGCGCGTGTATGATGAATGGTGATTATGCAATGGAGATTTTTCTACCAAATTTGTGACGCACGACATTCATGGAGTTATTGGTCACGGTTTATGAGTTCAATGACTATAGACTATATGTGAGTGGGATATATCGTGTAAATTTATTTTAAATCATAAAACTCGAATGCTGAAATGTATAAAGGATCATAATATAATGTCTACTTTGGCAGGTACCGTGAAACTAGCAAGATGTTGTGGGCTGGATTCTTGTTGCCTCTACTCATCACTGTAAGTTTAGTACCAGCACTGACGCATAGATTGTATCAAGCTTGATTGTATAGAAGATATTATATTATATATTGTGTAGAAACCAACAAATAATGTCATAAAAATATCGAAAAATTTTTTGTAGTTAGCTCACTTAGTTGATTCAGTATTTCCTAGAAATTTTGTCCCCGAATCCAGTGTTTCAAATATTTTATTGCGAGTTATCTAGAAAGCAGGAAAGCAAGAGTGAAGAGTAAGCGATTCGCGTACAGTTGCTGCGTGGCAAAATATCAGACGCGCAATATAGCAGACACTAATAACACGCGAAAATGCTGCTAACCCGTCAAACGACGAAGATAAAATAGCTCGCCATCGAACCATTAATCCTAATTATCGACTTAATTAGCGATCGATCGCATTCCAACGCGTTGTTAGCCGCGATCCTTCACCGCCCCGATCTTTATCTTCTTGGCCGATGCCAATTGTCTGTGGGCGCCTCTCACGCAGCTGACGCCGTGGGCGCGGCCGCATCATACTCGGCGAGTTATTAAAAGAGGTATAACTAGTTCACGAGGGCTAGCGAATGCATTGTTGGCGTGCGATGCGTACATGCCCGGGTGTCACGAAGCAGGCAATACACCCAGGTAATCGTGGCCGCAGGCCGTAGTTTCAGCATCGTCCACCTACTAACCCCGCCGATAATTGTAGCGGAGAGTAACAACGCAGCGTTCTGTTGATACACGGGTAGCGAACCTAATAGCAGGCAGCGATGGTGGCCTGGGGATGCAATATGAGTGGGCGGGGAGAGTTGATTGGTGTTGCACTGGTGCTGGTGTTGTTGGTGTTGTTGTTGTTGTTGTTGTTGTTGTTGGTGTTGTTGTTGTTGTTGTTGTTGTTGTTGTAATGGATGATGGATGGATGGATGGATGGATGGATGGATGGATGGATGGATGGATGGATGGATGGATGGATGGATGGATGGATGGATGGATGGATGGATAAATTGATGGATGGATAAATGAATAGATGGATGTATGAATGGATGGATGTATGAATGGATGGATGGATGGGTGGATGGGTGGATGGATGGATGAATGGATGGATGAATGGATGGCTGGACGGTGGTTTGAACGAAACCATGTACCGTACAGTCCTTTATTTTGCACAAGTAAATACACTATATCTACAACGTTATGATTCGCCACCCACCCCTACCCGCCCTACACACCTTCGTTTGCATTCCTGTAATTGGAGTTATGGTAGTTTCCACGGTTCACATCCTCATAGACGCCGTTGTCGTGGTTATAGTTGTTACGATTCGCGTTGTATCGGCCGGCGTCGTTGTAAACTCTGCTGCCGCCATGATAGTTGTGTGATCTATCTTGGTTGTAGTATGGTGCCATGTATTGGCTGGTCACCACGGCAACCTGCGTGACAGCAAACGCCATAATTACAATAATCGCGTAAAAATCTTATTACAGATATAACGCGGAGTTTGGAATAGACGAGTCGTTGTAAAGTTTCTCGTTGTTCTAACGATTGCACAACTCAGTAGATTGCGAAGCTCAGACATGTATTCGCTACGCATATAATTTTTACTACTCTCTGTTGACAATATTTCCAAGTAGAATAAATGTATTAGAAGAATACAGAGATTTTAAATGAAACAGAAATATCTTTTAACTGAAAACGAAATGGGAAACAAGGAAAACATGTACGCATGTTCAGGGCCAGTGGCGCAACGGATAACGCGTCTGACTACGGATCAGAAGATTCCAGGTTCGAATCCTGGCTGGCTCGTAACATTTTGGGGAAATATATCCCATTAATTTATATGATGTTAAGGATAGGCGGATGCAGTATTTAAAGCGTTTCGATTACATAGTTAAAACCGCAAATTAAAGGCCGTGTAAATGTCATACATGTTCAGGGCCAGTGGCGCAACGGATAACGCGTCTGACTACGGATCAGAAGATTCCAGGTTCGAATCCTGGCTGGCTCGATATGTTTTGTAGATTATGCACACGTTAATTTTCTTGTTAGTTAGGATGCTCACATGTAAATTTAGTTAGTTACATAACCAAATTTGATTAGGACCCATGTCGCTATAGATAACGCGGGTGACTACTGATCAAATAATTTCAAGTTCGGTGTGTTTAAGCCATGCACATGCTATTAATTTTTCGAGTTTCTTTTACAAGGCAATTGTAAAAGTGTAAAAGTCAATTCTTCAAGTGTAATTCAGTTTGTTATTTATATAAGGTTTTCTGCGATGTGTTACAAAAAAATTATTACGGTGAAATACATCATTAAAT